CAAGTACTATGTTAAAAACACTATTTTACTGTCAATGGCAGTATATTATGTAGGTGGTGTGTGATGCACGTTATGTTTCCAACTTATGTTTTTCGTGTTATTTTAGAACAAGTACTATGTTAAAAACACTATTTTACTGTCAATGGCAGTATATTATGTAGGTGGTGTATGAATGGTCGTTCTATGTGCAGTTTATATTTTTCGTGTTATCTTATACCAATATTGTTTTTTTTTTAAGTTAAACTCATACAAGAAATACAGTATAACATCAAACCAATTCGAATGACAATGTAAAATAGCACCAAACTAATAATGTTACTGCCAGTGACAGTAAAATAGTAAAAATTACTGTCATGTGCAGTAATATAGTGCACGTGAATAATGTGAGTTATCCAATGCATGAGTCTGTGGTTATCACTACTAAAATTAATTTTGTAAATGTTAATTCATACAATTAAGAACATTTGACATCAAACCAATTTGAATGACAATGTAAAATTGCACCAAACTAATAATGTTACTGCCAGTAAAATAGTACCAAAACATAAAAAAAACATTAAATAGGTAAAAATTATTGTTATGTGCAGTAAAAAACACCTAGAAAAACAGAGAAAAACAGAGTCACCTAGAAAAACAGAGGCTATTACATTTAAATATTTTTGTTGCAAACTTCATATTATACCAAACTCGGAACATCTTCCACACTTGATTTTTTTCTTAATATTCGCACCACAAGATGGTATTTTCTTCATTTTCAGTCTGCCCCTTCGCGTCTGGCAAGAAGGAGGTCGAACAATAGGCTGCTCAACCTGTTCAAAATCCACCAAAAATGGATGAATTGGAAACGAGTAAGTGCTACGAAAATACGACGCATAAAACAAGGGATCAATATATGCATATAGTTCTGTTTCGGGGGTATTAAAGAGCGCAACAGCTGCATGGCAGCAAGGGAAACCAATAATTTGCCAAATCCGACAGGTACAAGTTCTACTAAACAAATCCATAATAACATGCGGATCTGAATGCACTTCAATAACTGTTCCAGTTGACCTTCTCACATTCCATGTCCTTCCAGCTTCCACAAAATTGTTAAGCACCTTTTCCATCTCTGGACACAACATCGTTTTGATACCC